AAGTGCTTAGAATCTGTAATTGGCACATAGTAAGAGGTAAACAACAGCGATGGTAGCTATTATTATTGCATGTGACAGTAATGGTGGTCAGACCTCAGTGGACAAAACTGACTTGGTTCCTGTCTTCACGGAGCTCACAGCCCAATGCTTGAAGGTGCATGCTCAGCCCAGGACCATTGCTGATTGTGATGACATAAGACTCTTGCTTCACTGGGTGCATCAAATGGGTCGGTCCTGGGAAGGGTAATGTGATCCGACCATTGCATTTCTTGCACTTACATGAACACTCAAAACTTTTCTGCCCATCTTTTCTCCCTTTCACCCTGCCTTTGAATTTACTGTTTCTTCTACCTAAAAAATAAATAGTAGCACACATTCATGTAGTTGTGACCATGTGCCAGGCATTGTTCTCACTTATATACGTCAACATATTTAAGTCTCATGTCAGCCCTATGGGGTAAGTACTGTTGTTATACTGCTTTATATTTAAGGAAACTGAGCCACAGAGAGGTCAGATAACTTGCCCAGGGTCACACAGTAGTGAAATGGCAGACAAAGTAGGATTTGATTCCAGAAAGTCTCTTAAGCCCCAGGTTGTACAGAACACTGGGCTCCCGCCCCCATCTCAGCACTGGGTCCTTTCCTGTCACTCAAGCATATTTCTTCAGAAAACCTCTCACTGTCAAATCTAAACCAGCATAATCTCTCATGTTGTCATATTTCTTTTTCTTTCTTCTGTGTGTATTTTTTTTTAACATTACTACATATTTGTGGATCCATATACATTATATGGTATTTTTTTTCACAAGTTTTAAAATTTTCTGTAAATAATGTCATACATATATATCATTCTGCAACTTAGGTTCTTGCTCAATAATGTTTCTGAAATTTGTAAATATTGAAGATATGGTTCTAGGTCATTTATTTGAACTAACAGAAGTGTAATCCATTTTATGACTACATACCTACATTTCACCTACTCTCTTGTTGATGGACATTTAGGTTGTTTCTGATGTTTTTCTGCTATAAACAATATTGGAATGAGCAGTCTTGGGCATGTGTCCTTGGAGACATGGGAGAAAGCATTTATATAAAAAATTCTGTATTCAGAAGTGTCATGGATCTTGAAAATATTAAACTTTACTAGATGTTGCCAAGTTTCTATCTGAGGGAGATGCTAGCAGTTCATTCCCCCAACAGCAATTTATGAGACTTTCTTTTTCTCCATGTCAAACAATCTGATTTTGTTCTGAGAAGATCACTCTAGTGATGAGTAAAAAGTGAGCTGGGTGAGGGTAGGAAGGAGTACATGGGGGTCCAGACACACGGAGCGCTGAGAACTGGGGTAGTCAAGGTTTCTCGCTCCAAACTGGTAGTGGAAAACTTCCTGCACGACCCTCTGCTGTCTGTTCCCATTTTCCCTTTTATCACTGAGTTGGTGGGAACAGAATTATCTGCTTGTCAAGTGTTATCAATCAATATCAAATTGTGCAGGCAACTGAACTGCTCTTCTTTGTAGAAAATTATTATTTATTTTTTATTTAACAAAACTCAAGGTTGAGAGGGTGCTCCATTGTTGCCCTTCTGTGGTTTTAGCGTTTTCTCTGCTTTGGCTCAGCCCTGGGTTGTTTATCATGCATGTGTTGTACTGCAAATGTGGAACAAATGAAGCCGAGATATCAAATTAATACTGTGATCTGTTTTTCTGTTTTGTTGCCATAACAATCTGTGGCTCTTGAAGCAAACAGAAAATTAGAATTGTATTAAAGGTGTTCACACCATGTACACTCCATCCTGCATTATTATTTATTGCTATAATAAGTATATTTAACATTTTGCTTAAGGAGGGCTCTCTGCTACTGCCTTTTGCCTTGTGGTTTTTCTGCTTGTCCTTCCAACTTGGCTTTGCTTTTGACCTTGATGTTTCCTGTAGTTCTGAGCAGAAAGGATGCTTCATGACCTCATGATTCCTTATATTTATTCCTCCCCTTTGCGCCCCCATCTCTCCCCAGTCCTGGGAGCTCCTTTGAGTCAGGAGTCTTGCTTAGAAACGAAACAGGACTTGGACTATGTTTTCCTACTTTGCTTGCCTCATTCTTTCCTTGTAAACCTGAATTGGGGGTTCAGCATCCTTTGGGAGAGATGAGGAGAAGCTGGGGTGGAAGAAGGGAGAATTAGAGCAATTTATGCCTCAGAAGAAGTACAGTGGAAATCAACATGGCACATGGAGGCCCAGGATACGGGTCCCCTAAGATCTCCCTCCATTCCACTCTGTTCCCATGGTCAAGTGGTCAGCTTGCCCAAGCCCTCTTTGACAGACGACCTTACTGTCCCAACCATCACAAGCTGCCATCTCCTGGGCCAGTGTGGCTGAAATGGTGGGCTTGGGGTGATGGAAGCCCCTCTGCCCACTAACTAGATCAGTTTACCTGCGTGGGTAAATTGGTACCATCCAGTGTCATAAGCTCTTTGAAGGTAGATGCTATTCCCACTCCAGTTATCAGCCTACAATTCCTAGATAATGGTGGGCACACACAAGGAGCTCAAGAAGAGCTTCATCCCCTGATTGTTTGGGTTGTCGAGGAGGGAAGATGTGTGTAAATATGTTTATGAGTTATGCCCACTTCAGGGCATCTGTGGCCCCAGAGGCAATAGAGTGAAAAGGAACATTGCTTTTCTTAAAAAAAATTAACTTATTTTTGGCTGTGCTGGGTCTTCACTGCTGCAGGGGCTACTGTCTAGTTGCAATGTGCGGGCTTCTCGTTGCCGTGGCTTCCCTTGTTGTGGAGCACAGGCTATAGATATGGGCTTCAGCAGTTGTGGCACATGAGCTTAGTTGCCCCGTGGCACATGGGATGTTCTCAGACCAGGTCTGGAACCTGTTTCTGCTGCATTAGAAAGTGGATTCCTAACCATGGCCCACCAGGGAAATCCTGGAAAGGAACATTTCTGACCCTTCTTGGAAGAGTCCTCCAGGTGACCTGTGTCGGCTTTCTTCTGTGGGGAAGAATGTGGGCAGAGAGGGAACGTGGGTCATCTCCACCTGGCGACTCTCTGTGCAAAAAGGTTAGAGCCAAAGAGGCCCTGGAGGATGACAGATTTTTTAAATGTCCTGTTGTCCTTTACTGCCCAGCGGACCTCAAGTCAGGTCTAAAGCCCAGGGCATGATGAAGACCCTTTCTTGTGTGAGTCACTTTTTGAGACTCAAACCAAGGGTGGTCCCTGGTTACATCAGTAATACAGGCAAAGAAAGCCCACTGGGGCCAAGAAAAAAAAATCAACCTTTCTCTCAAGGCCAAAGGTTTTTTCTTTCTCAGATTCTTGCACATGGGCACACACTTGAGTATACAAGCTAACTTTTTTTTTTTCCTGGCCAAGGCACATGGCATGCAGGGTCTTAGCTCCCTATCAGGGATGGAAACTGTACCCCCTGCAATAGAAATGCAGAGTCCTAACCTTTAGACCACCTGGGGATTCCAACACACGTATTCCTAAAAAGAAAGGATCAAGAGGGTAAAGATGGGTTTGGAGTCCAGGTTAGCATGTGAGTTGTCATAGTGTTATCACACAGGAGGCGGCTGCTTGTGACTATGACAACTTGGATCTGGAGGGAGGAGTGTGAAATGGAAGGAATATTAAGCAGGCTGGCGAAGGGAAGATGCAGCAGGGAGTGACAGGAGGGTCTGAGATGATTGGGTAAGGTTGGTTCTGGGTGCATCTTTGAAAAAAGCACGTCCTGTCAGGTTGCCTGTCTCTTTCTTCAGAGCCCCCCTTTTTTCACCTGGATGCCCATCCCAAGTCCTAGGGCAGAGGCTCCTCTAAAAGTAGGGTTGTGGTGGGCAAAATCAGACAGGAGGCACGGCCCAGTCATCCCCAAGCACCAACTCTTTGCATTTATGAATAATCTGTTAAAGATGCTCCTCTTTAGTCACCTTCTCTTACTCACTCATGTCTGACAAGGGTGAGTAAGCACAGTAAATTCTTTTCTATCAATGGATTTAAATTGCTTAAACAGTGCCGCATCCACTACTTCAGCCAGCATTTCTGACCATAAGGGTTAATATTGTAGTGTGTTTATTTTTGTGTTGCATTCTTAACTCAGGTATAGGGATGTGAAGTAACTTGTCCAGGTTCACCCAAAGAGGAAATGCATGACTTCTGAGTGGTCTGTGATTCTGCTTGCTTCAACAAGCACAGTGTGTATGTGTGAGACCAGGGAGCACTGGAACTTTGCTTTTATTTGGTTGAATTCCCTTGTGTCTACATGGTCTGCATATCAGTGATTGAAACAGGTACAAGGGAGCAGGCTGCAGCAACAGTACTTGCAGAAGTGTGCACTTCCTAACTTACGTGGGACATGACAGTTTTGTTTGTTCCAAATAAATGCTTTGCAGTATCCTGCAGATAAAATGTGCCTATTATCCTTGCTTTAAAAACCTTCACGGAATGCATGCACTTCTGTTTGTGTGGGAAGATGTATTGTGAAATATTAACATAATCTTTCTCCTCACAAAGACACACACACAGTTGTTACCCCATGGTACTACATTGAAGGAGGGTAACAGAAAACAGGTCTTTCCCAAAACAGAATTGTCAGACTTAGCAAATAAACAAACAAGATGCCCAGTTCAATCTGATTCAGATAAATGACAAATACTTTTTAGTATATTCTATGCAACATATGGGATATACTTGTACTATTTGACATTTATCTGAAATTCAAATGAAATGGATGTCTCTTAATTTTCTCTGGCAACCTTATCCCAAAGAATGAAATCAAACAGCGAAAGTCACATGCTTGGCTTTTAAGTTTAAAAACGGTGGCTTAGTGTAAAATAGAAACACCAGGAAGAGGAAAGCTCTGGGTTGAGGAAGGGACAGAGGATTGAAGCCAGGGAGGAAAGAGACAATGGTGACTGTAGCTATTTCCTGCACCTCTCTGTGTTCCATATTTAACTACAGTGTCTGCAGGTACCCTGGGGTACCCAGAATCAGCCAGGATGCTGGAACCAGGACCCAGGCAGGCTCCGCCCCCCGACCCCCCACAGCCGTCCCAGAGTGCCTTGCCCCAGAGACCGGATGTCCCAGGAGTCCTCGCAGTCCCTCAGGCCGGAAGGAGGTGTTTGCTGTTTCTGGGGTTCGCCCCAGGCTGCGGTGGACCTACGCCACCTCAGCCATCGTCAAGGGTCACGGGCGAGGTCAAGGACCGGCTGCTGAGAAGCAGCACCAGGATACTGCGGATGCTGGAGGAGGCTGCTGCGCGGAGTTCATGCCAGGCCTACAGCCAGGTAAGCTGCCACGGCCTGTCGATACTGGCCAGAGTGGGGCAAACACGAGGTGATGCGGCGTTTACCCAGAGAACCTGAAACTGATGAGGTTCAAATTGAAAACAAGGGCCAAGTGAGAGGTGGTGAACGGGAAGAACAATAATGGGCCTTGCGCACCCAGAATTCATGGTGGGAGACGTTTGTGCAGCCTGTGGGGCTGCTGTGGGAACCATTCCAAGATGCCGAGGCCAGGATGCCTGGGGGTGTTTTCGGCTCTACCTTGTTGTCAAGTCATGAGGCTGCGGCCTAGTGACCCTGAGGCCTGGCCAAGCACGACTGGGCAGGAGCGCATCCTCCCGCCCCCTGAATACAGGAGTGCACGCTTCCCGTTGCGCTTGACGGTGGCCCGTGCCCCGCTGTGGCCACCAGGGAGCGTCTGGTGATCTGCCGTCCTTGCCCTCCTGATCTGGGCTTTTATCATCCGTGTGCCTTTAGGTCATTAGGGAAACCCCGGAACCGAACTGTTGGCGCCGCTTGCTGGCTGGCCTTAAATGAACACTGAACAGCTGAAACTCATTTGCTTCCCTATAAAATGGAAACAATAATGCCCCCTTCCTTGGGTCCCTCTGAGGATTAAATAAGGTAATGAGCCAATATCGTGCAACACGTGGCACATGGCTGAGACGCCCAAGGTCAGCTTTTTTGGCAGAAGCGATTTGTTTGGGCGCCCCCCACCCGTGCCGACCACATCCTTGCTCCTCCTCTTTTCGGGCTCCCCGAGCCATCCATCCTGTTAAGATCACCTCGCAGAGAAGGGCCATTCAGGCTTCCAGGTGGAACTGATGTTGTGTAATCTCTTTCCGAATTGTTGCCTTTTCGGCTTTTATTGAATTGTGGAGTGCAAGGCTTCAGGTTCTAAGTGGAGTTTGTTGGAGAGGAAGTGTTTGGACCAAGGAACCCTTTCCTGCTGGTGGGGGGGTGGGAGTGGGGGGGTGGGGTGGGAAGGGGGCGGATCAGAGCAGATGGCAGGTGCAGCCTGAGAGGAGCAGGATGGCGCAGTGCTGGGCACTGGTCTGGGCCTGTTCCCAGCATACAGTGATGCTCTGGTGTCTCCAGCAGTTGGCCAGGAGATGCCTGGGTACTAGGAGCCGGCCAGCAAAATTACAAGCCCACGACCCTGTGGTCTTTTTCAGCGTCACACTGCCACAGATGTCTATTCTTGGTTGGGGTGATTAGCCTCAAAGTGGAAAGTTGGCAGGAAGAGAATGCGACCTTCCTGCAGTGAGGGACATGATCATGTATACTTGGTACAGTTTTCAGCTGCCAGAGAGGAAAGGCAGCTAATCAGATGAGCTCATCCTACCTGGAGATTTCAGCTGGTCCAGGCAAGGGTAGAATCATAGCTCCAGGTCGGACGATTCCTTGTACTGATTTTGAGGCAGCCATTTTGACATAGGCATGGCAAAAAGGAAAAAAAAGGTTTTGTTTTTTTCCTCCACACACTGTTGACCCTTAACACTGAACCTCTTCCTTGCTCCCGAGTGAAGCTCAGGGGTGCACTTAAGCCAAGGATGCAGTGAGGGTGTGAAAGGGGTAGGATGAGGGTTTTGAGCATGTTTTTTTTTTATTGCAGTATAGTTGCTTTACAACATTGTGTCAGAAACACTGCAGAACAAAGTGAATCAGCCATGTGTATTTATATATTCATTCCCTTTTGGATTTCCCTCCCATTTAGGACATCGCACGCAGTCTGTTAAGTAGAGTTCCCTGTGCTATACAGAATGTTCCCATCAGTTGTCTATTTTATTCATAGTGTCAGTTGGGGTCCCTAACCTCTAGGATCTGATGCCTGATGATCTGAGGTGAAGCTGATGTAATAAAGTGCACAGTAATTGTAAAGTGCTTGAATTATCTGAAAATCATCACCCACCTCTGGTCCGTGGAAAAATTGTCTTCCACAAAACCCGTCCCTGGTGCCAAAAAGGTTGGGGACCACTGATCTATACCATGTTTCTAGATTTCCACATGGATGAGTTAATATATGATACTTGTTTTTTCTCTTTCTGACTTCACTCTGTATGACACTCTTTGGATTCATCCGCCTCTCTACAAATGACCCAGGTTTGTTCCTTTTTATGGCTGCTTGCATGCATGCTAAGTCATTTCAGTCATGTCTGACTCTGTGTGACCCTATGAACTATAGCCTGCCAGGCTCCTCTGTCCATGGGATTCTCCAGGCAAGAATACTGGAGTGGGTTGCCATTTCCTCCTCCATTTTATGGCTCAGTAATATTCAACTATGTATATGTACCCATATTTTTAATCCATACCTTTGGTAATGGACATTTAGGTTGCTTACATATCCTGGTTATTGTAAATAGTGCTGCTATGAACATTGAGGTGCATGTGTCTTTTTGATTTATAGTTTTCTTTGGTGAAGTCAAGTGGGCCTTAGGAATCATCACTGTAAACAAAACTAGTGGAGATAATGGAATTCCAGCTGAGCTGTATCAGATCCTAAGAGATGATGCTGTGAAAGTGCTCCACTCAATATGCCAACAAATTTGGAAAACTCAGCAGTGGTTGCAGGATTGGAAAAAGGTCAGTTTTCATTCCAATCCCAAAGAAAGGCAATGCCAAAGAATGTTCAGACTACCGCACAATTGCACTCATCTCATACGCTAGCAAAGAAATGCTCAAAATTTTCCAAGTGAGGCTTCAAACAGGACATGAACGAAGAACTTACAGATGTTCAAGCTGGATGTAGAAAAGGCAGAGGAACCAGAGATCAAATTGCCAACATCCGATGGATCATAGAAAAGGCAACAGAATTCCAGAAAAACATCTACTTCTGCTTTATTGACTATGCCAAAGCCTTTGACTGTGTGGATCACAACAAACTGTGGAACATTCTTCAAGAGATGGGAATACCAGACCACATTACCTGCCTCCTGAGAAATCTGTATGCAGGTCAAGAAGCCACAGTTGGAACCAGACATGGAACAACAGACTGGTTCCAAATTGGGAAAGGGGTACGTCGGGGTTAAATACTGTTACCTGCTTATTTAATCTATATGCAGAGTACATCATGCAAAATGCTGGATTGGACAAAGCACAAGCTGTAATCAAGACTGCCAGGAGAAATATCAATAACCTCAGATATGCAAATGACACCACCCTTATGGCAGAAAACAAAGAGGAACTAAAGAGCCTCCTGATTAAAGTGAAAGAGGAGAGTGAAAAAGCTGGCTTAAAACTCATCATTCAGAAAATGAAGATCATGGCATCTGGTCCCAATATTTCCTGGCAAACAGATGGGGAAACAATGGAAACAAGAAGAGACTTTGTTTTCTTGGGCTCCAAAATCATTGCAGAGGGTGACTGCGGCCATGAAATTAAAAGACACTTGCTCCTTAGAAGAAAAGCTATGACAAACCTAGACAGCTGACAAAGGTCTGTATAATCAAAGCTGTGGTTTTTCCAGCAGTCGTGCATGGATGTGAGAGTTGGGCCATAAAAAAAGCTGAGCAAAGAATTGATGTTTTTGAACTGTGTGGTGTTGGAGGAGACTCTTGAGAGTCCCTTGGACTCCAAGGAGATCAAACCAGTCAATCCTAAAGAAAATTATTCCTGACTATTCACTGGAAGAACTGATGCTGTAGCTCCAATACTTTGGCTACCTGATGCAAAGAACTGACTCCATAGAAAAGACCCTAATGCTAGGAAAGATTGAAGGCAGGAGGAGAAGGGGATGACAGAGATGAGATGGTTGGATGGCATCACCAACTCAATGGCTCAGGAAACTCAAATAGGGGCTCTATCAACCTAGAGGGGTGGGATGGGGAGGGAGATGGGAGGGGGTATATTTATATGTATACCTATGGCTGATTAATTTTGAGGTTTGACAGAAAACAGCAAAATTCTATGAAGCAATATCCTTAATTAAAAAAATAAATAACAATTCAGTGGACATGAATTTGAGCACGCTCTGGGAGTTGGTGATGGACAGGGATGCCTGGTGTGCTGCAGTTCCCTTGTGTCACAGAGTCAGACACGACTGAGTGAGTGAACTGAAATGAACTTTCTCTGGTACTTGCCCAGTAGAGGGATTGCTGAGTCATCTGGTAGTTCTGATTTTAGGTTTTTAAGGAACCTCCATACTGTTTTCTATAGTGGGCTGTATCCAAATAGCCATTAGCCATTTCAGTTGTAGGGTTTCATGGATGTGGGTGGAGCTTGGCAGTCCTGGCCTATGTGGAAGAGGGGCGAGGGAACCGCCTCCACCTCATAGAAATCCCAGACTTTTGTCATCAAGTGGGCAGAGGAGGAAGGTGGCTGGGACGCACGGGCTTTGGATGGAGTGTAGCTGCAAGATGTTACATCCCAACTTTCCCAGTCTGTGTGCTGACCTCCTTTTGGGGATAGGAGAAATAAAGCCCTTGCATCTTATTAGGTGTTGATGAAAAAACATTGCCTGCCATATTCGTAAACAAAGTATCCTGTGGTCTTCAAACCATTACACTGCAGCCACCCCCAGCAGTGCACCCTGCGGAGACTCAGGATGAGAAAACACAGGACACTGGCCCCAGAGAGCTGAGGTGCATGTCAAAGGAATGATTCTAGTGAGCCCATCCTCTTGCATCTTCCTATATGTAGAAAAGTGTTCACTTTCTTAATTTGAGCTATGTGGTTTTCTTTAAATAACAGTAATCCTTTGATGTTCTGACTACCTGATCTTTGTTGCAAAAATTCTCACATATCCTGGCTCCTCCTTTACCTCTTTGGAGCAGTACCTCAGAACTATTTGAGAGGCTGTGTCCTGGACTTCCCAGGTGGCGCTGGTAGTAAAGAACCCTCCTGCCTATGCAGGAGTTGTGGGTTTGATCCCTGGGTGGGGAAGGTCCCCTGGAGGAGGGCATGGTAACTCACTCTAGTATTCCTGCTTAGAGAATCCCATGGACAGAGGAACCTGATAGACTACAGTCCACAGGGTTGCAAAGACTCAAGTGACTTAGCGTGCAAGCGTGCATGTCGTGGGCTTAAGTCCTCAGTTTTGTCTGCTGAATAAAACAACTCTGAACTTTTAGGCTGTGCATTTTTTTCAGTTGACATAGGACAAGCCCCTTTCCTTCCCTTATTTTTCTTGCCTGTTTTATTATAATTAATTAAGCTGTGTCAGGTTCTTAGTTGCAAATTGCAGGATCTTTCATTGCGATGCACAGACACTAGTTGTGGTACAGTACTAACAGTTGTGGCACGTGGGTTCTGCAGCATGTGGGATCTTAGTCCCCTGACCAGGGATTGAAGCCGTGTCTCTTGCATTACAAGGAAGACTCTTAACCGCTGGATCACCAGGGAAGTCCCTCCGCCTTCCCTCCTTTTGATGCTCTTGTAAGGTGAGCCCAACCACCCCCCTAACTAGTGACCCCCCAGATTCATGTCT